TTGATCTTTAATTTATTTAGACTTTGGGTTCCTCATAGGAGAGAAGCCACACACTATTTAAGCCTGTGTGTTGATTTATTTCATCTAACGTCGTGGCCTCATGTTATTCTCAAGGAATTAAAAATCAAAGATGACCAGTATGTGAAGGATTTGAAGAAGCAGTCAGACGACATCTCCCTGCTTCTGGAGAGGATGGAGGAGCAAGTGAAGAGCATGATGAAAGCCTTCCGCCAGGAGCTGCTTCACATCGAGGCAAGGGGTGTGAAGAGACCACTCTGCATCCGGGAGCCCTGGGGAGAGCTGGGTCGGTCCTAATGAGGGAAGCAGGACCCACCTGCCTTTGTCTTCTGATTTCTGTCTCTTCTCTGGGACGTTGTTCATTTGTTTGCTCACTCATCCACTCACTGATGTAATCATCAAGTGTCTGCTGTATGCCAAGGCACTGTTCCAGGGGCTCAGGATGCAGCTGTGAACAAAACAAAGTGCCCAAAGGACCCTGTAATCTACTAGGAGATAGCTGGAGTAAGCAAATGCATCAGTAGCTATATAATTTGGTAGGTGGTTTTGAAAGAGAATACGATAGAAATGGGGAGTGAAATGGAGAGGTTAGTGCTTCGTAACCATAGGCACACCTGAGCCACGTTTGTCTCTTAATGGCAGTGGTGATGGTATGGGGATGGATGGTGACGGGGATGGGGAGTGTCAGATAAGATTCAGAAACCTGTACTTGAACTTGAATCAACCTTGTGGTTGGTAGTTGAAGTTGAGTTTCATGCAGGGTTTGCCACACGACTGCCTTGGTCTTCCTCAAGCTTCCTGCCTCTGTTGGTGCACTTTGCCTCTAAATTCATGTGAAGTGTAGACTTCATGATACTTAATTCCATACAATTCTGTACTCCTTTGGCTGCATGAAATTTGGCCAGTCTGCAGTTGGGTGTGACTTAGTCTTTATAGCTGGTGATGTGGCACTGCCCTGGTTATCTAAAATTTCTTTGATACTAATGGGATCTGCTCACTGCAAGTAGACATAGTACTCTCTCCCCTCCTGGTCACAGAAAGCCTTTGAGGTGGAAAGACAGGAGCTACTCACCAACAATAAGAAGAAATGGGAGTGGGCGCTGCAGGCTCACAGCTCCAAGGAGGTAAAGGGTGGCAGGTGGGGTTGGGGGCAACTCCTACTGTGACCGGATGGCTGGACTTTCATGTCCCGGCCAGGGCTGCTGGGTTGGGCAGGCATCTATTACTGGGCTTCATAGTTAACCCATGTGGCCTGGCAGGTGAGGGTGTCCCTTTGCGGGATGAGCACCAGCCACCTTTACAGCTTGCTGTGGTTTCTGTGGCCCTGTCACTTTCTCCTTGGGTATTTACCCCAGCCATGAGTATTCGTGGCCTGAGAAGATGTTTTAAAGGGTGTAGGACTCTTACTTTGTTTCTGAGTAGTAGGAATAAAGACCCCGAGGGATATTGTGAAATGTAAATGTTTGCAAGATCTGTGTCAGTTTCGTGATGGAACACTCCTCATGAAGTGTCTGGATTGACCCAGGTCCCATAGGCGATGCAGGCCATGACCCAAGAGGTCAGTCTGGGAGCTGCTGAAAGCCACCAGACTTGCCCAACCTAGCATTTCCAAACCTTACCCTGTGCCATGCTTCTCAGGCCCCCAGAAGGACTGAGTTGGGGCGGGGAGGGTCTCTAACTTGCCCCTGGTTTCCCTGCAATGCAGCTGGAGTACCTTGTCAACCGCATGAAGAGAGTGGAGGAGTATGAGCAGCAGCTGAACAAGCAGCGGATCTGGGACCGTGAAGAGTTCATAATCATCAAGATCAAGCTGGAGCAGGATGTGCAGGTGCGCAGCCATCCTCACGCCTTGGTCTGGGTGGCAAGCGGGTCACCAGTGAGTGCTTGTGAGCCACTATCCGCAGAGTTCCAGAGGTAGCCCACTCACCACATTTTTTTTCAAAATCAAGAAACTTATATAATTAGAATTCGCAAAGTAGAAAGGGGTAGGCAATAAATATTTAAAGATCTAAAATTTTTGAATTTAGTTGAAATCATAGCACCACATTTCCAAGAAAAATGAACTTTTTGCACAAGAAATTTGAATAAAATCATTCCAAGATACACAAAAATGAAATTGTCCAAAACTAATTATAAAGAAAAAAATCATTAAAGCATATACATAAAAAATAGCTATGGAAGAACAGAATTAAACAGCATCTTATTATACATTAGAAAAAAAATAGTGTAAGAAACTAGACTAATTAATTCAAAGGATTGAAAGAAAAAAAAAAGATCTGTCTTCATTGAATTTTATATTTAGCAAACATACCTTTGAAAACTAAAAATAAAATATTTTCCAGTCATACAAACTCTAAATATTCTAATACCTCCAGATGTAGCATATAGGAATTAACAAAGCATAATCCAGAAGGCAAGAGGAGTTGTCTTATGGTCCTGGATAAAGAATTAAAGAGCTCTCAAAATGGTAGTTATGCAGGACTCTGTAAGATATATTAGATGAACCCATTTAAAGGGTCATTGAAGATTTCTACAAAACAGTATCAATCTTACATCAGGTTATATACGTATTTTTTCGTGTGTGTGTGTGTGTGTGTGTGTGTGTGTGTGTGTGTGTGTGTGTAAAAGACAAGGAAGAAGTAATATAAAGTCAATGGAACATGGAAATATACTTTTTAAAGTTTCTAATACTAGCAGAAGATATACCATGTCTTATAAATAGATTGGAAGTCAAAGATGCAGTATAAATCTTAAAACAATAATTAAGATTAAACAATATTCAGAAAATCAACTAAATATTAATCAATTAAAAATTAAAAATTTCAAAACAATTGAACTAAGAAAAAGTTTTCATGATAGTAAAGAATTACTAAGAATAAAACATAAGATAAATACTAGAATGGCAAATATATGAGCAGCACTTCTAACAGTTTCATTCACCAAATATTGATGTCTGCTTTCTTCTACATGGTCATATCCAAAGGAACTCATGGCCAGGTATATGCAAAGCAGCGCTTCCTTTCTTCTTCTTTTTTGGTACTGGGAAACTGAGATTGAACTCAGAGCCTTCTTGCTAAGATGCCTCTCAGCCCTTTCTTATTTTTTATGTTTGTTTTGAGACCAGGTCTTGCCAAGTCACTAAATTGCCCAGGTTGGGCCTAGATTTGTGATCCTCCTACCTGAGCCTCTCAGAATGCTGGGATTACAGATGTGTGCCACCATATCAAGGTTTTTTTCTTTTCTTTCTTTTGAGATACAGTCTCAGTATATAGTCCCAACTGGCCTTAAACTCCCATCTTCCTGTGCCCTTCCTTCCTTCCTTCCTTCCTTCCTTCCTTCCTTCCTTCCTTCCCTCCCTCCCTCCCTCCCTCCCTCCCTCCCTCCTTCCCTGTCTTTCTTGGATGCTGGGGACAGAACTAGGGCCTTTCACATAACAGGAAAGGTCTGTACCACTGAGCTACACCCCCAGCCCCGAGGAATACTGTGGACAGGAAACTAGTAAAGGAGATCTGCATTCAAGAGTGGCAAATGTAAAGTATCCCTGGGGCAAGTTAGCTGTGCTACAGGGTTACAGCTAAATCCACTACTGCTGAGACCAGTGACTGTCTTCTGGGTATTTCCCACATTCGTGACACTTACTGTACAGAATCTCTAACTCTTGTGATAACACAAAAGGATACATCACTAACAGTGTTTTATACATGGGGAAACTGATGCTTTGAGACAGGGCTTTATATTGTCGAGTCCTTGGTAAACCTGGATTGAAATTCACTTCTGTCCTTCTCCTTATACCACACAGCTACCAACTAGTGGTTTGTAATAGCAGCAAGGCAGATCCCAACTCACCATCAGAAAGAATCTTTGAACAGAAATATCCAATGCAGAAAAGGGGATCCGCAGACAAAGCATCCTTTATCTCATTAGGTATTCATAGGATGAATGACCCGGCTGTCTTCAGTGCCTAAGGATTCTTTCAAACGTGCTGTCCAAGCCTGGGATCCTGTGATTCAACACCAGCTTTTAAAAAATGCGTCTCTAATTACGTGCAGTTGGGATGCGATCTTGCTATCCAAGCCCAGTAAATGTGCTTCAGTCTCTGTGTTGACTGAGTGTTAAAGCTTTCCTGTGTACCTTTGCTAGAAGTTTAGTTCTCACTTTGCCTGTAGCTTTGAATCAGGAAGTTCTATTTTTAAAGCCACATTAGACTACAAATGCATTCACCAGTCTTGAGAATGCTCCTGGCCCTGGTCATATTAGCGTTGGGGAGTGAGAATCACTGGCAGAGAACATGCTATCTCAGAGGGCAGCATTGTTTTGTGGGGTATACTGGATGCCATTTTATTGAAAATGGCTATTGTTAAGCTCTCTCTGAATTTGTCTTAGTTTCATAATAATTTTTTTTTCTTCAAAGCTTTATTCCAGAGGGGCTCAGTCCTTCTTGGCAACTGCCTTCCTCATGGCAGCCAGCACGTTGCTCAGCTCCTCACACTTCTTCTTGGAGTGGATGTGTGTCCCCACCCTTTTCTTGATGAACTTGAGGGCGTGTTTGTCCTTGGAGACCTTGAGCAGCTCCATGGCGCGCCGCTCACAGGGGCAAAGCCACATACCTCCCGGATCATGTCCTGCATGAACGTGGTGTGTTTGCTGAGGCATTCATGACAGCAGCTGTGCCTTGGTTTGTTCACATTCTTAGTCACCTCGTGGCCCTTGTTATCCCATGCCCATGGGATAATGGAGGGCCATGGCTACTGTTCTTCAATGGTTGCTGTCAGTTTTATAATAATTTATGTGACTAAATAACCTAGTATTGGCCTGAAACAGGGAGTTGGATGGGACCTTATGCTCTTAATCAGATATTAAACTACTTGAATGATGTCAAAAATTCTAGGATATGTGGTACTGCGGGGCATCACAGTTTTTCCCCACATCAGGTGGAGGCTGGGAGGGCACACACTTCCCTTTTCCTGGACCACAGTCATCCATCAGTGACGGCCCCTATGGCCACACCTGTGTTACTCTGGTGCATTGCACTTTACCTAAGAATCCCTAAGGCATCCTCCTGTGAGACGTTCCAGTCAGAAGGCAAAGGTTTTTGTTGAGAAGACATCTTTTAGCTTCATGTCACAAGGTTGCTCTTGCCAACTAACTCATTGCACTATAAGTTCTAAAACATGCTACTAAAATTCTTACAAACCAACCACAAAAACAAGAAAAATCCATTACATACATAAACTTGGTTGGATGAGTAAAGTACGAGAAAAAAAAATTTTTTTTCAAATACTTACTGCTAGTAAAGGTCATGTTATTAAAGACTGGAGCAAAAAGGCACTTGTAAACATTATGCAGTAATGTAAGTAAACTTTGCTACCCTCCCACCTCCTACCAAAATAAAGCTGCCAGAGAGGGCCAGTCAAATAGATCTGCTGATTAAAGTGTCTGAAAGCAGGCACAGGGGCTGGGGGTTCAATCCCCAGGCCTGCTGTGCCAGCCCTTACCCCGGGATGCACTGAGAAGGCAATTCAGACTGGGCGTGGTGGAGTGCGCCTGTAATCCCAGCTCTTGGGAGGTTGTAAACAGGTGGGTCACTACAAGTCTGATCTAGTAGTGAGACCCTGAACACCCTGTAGACCCTTCCCTAAAAATAAATAAATAAATAAAAATAAAACTTCCAGGAACATTTATTTTAGTTCCTGAGACAGGAAAAATAATGCCTTTGTTCTTAGGCCTTCTATGCTCTTTTAAAATGTAAAATGGCCCAGTTCATATTTAGGAACTTTAATGGAGAATTAACCACAAACTTATTGAGCAAATACTGATAATTCACATTACACAAAGCTCAGAGAGTAAACAAAATAGACTCTCTTTCCTGAAGGACCTTATCATCCATGGAATAAGAAAGTCAGCCTTGCAAACCATACAGAAGGGCAAGGAAGAAAGCTGCAGAAACTGGAAAAATGGGGAAGGAGGTGTGTGGCCATGGACGAAGGCACCCGTCTCTTGGTTCTGGAGTGGGTCCTGGGTTCTCTGGAATCAGCAGTAAAAGCAGAAGGGGAAGAAGCATCAATAACAGCTTCTTTGCTGAGCCACCTGGTGGGCAAGAGGTGGCACCCACGAGAAGGCTGCAGGGAGGTCCAGGAGCAAGAGGGGACACACAAGTGACACCTGCGGTACCGTCACACTGAAGTGCTTCGGTGGTGGCAGGTTATCTCGTAAGCTCCTTACATTATTCACAAAAACCAAACATCATGTTTGCCCACTGATCTGGGGAACATAAAGCATGGCTTTGCTAATTCTCTTTGGATAATTGAATAAGGATGGATATTTAACAAGATAATTTAAAAAACTTAAAACATAAAACTATGTTCAATCTAGAACAATCCAGGATGACTGTATGTTGAGATTAAAACCTGAGATAACCAGTGCCAGAGTGCCTAGTATTGGGAGTTTGGACAGGCCTACTATCTAAAATGAGGGTGCCACGAAGGCTTGAATAAAAGAGAACAGTAATAGCAAGTTTGGAGTCCAGGAAGGTCAGAACTCTCTTGGAGCTAAGACAAAGGCTTGTCTGGAGAGCCAGTATTTGTTGAATTTCAAGCAAATTCAGGGTGTGTGAAGGAAAATGAAAGACTCCGACCTACTGACTTCTGACTGAGCTGCTCATTCTTGACGCAGTATGGCTGGTTTCCATAGAAGAACAGGGGCAGAAATCACTGCAGCTGTGCAGCAAGAACCCCCGAGTCCCTGTCCCTAAGACACTCCTGGGACCGTCTCTAGGAGAAGACGGGGCCTAGATATTGGTGCCTGAGCAGAGGCGGTGCTCTTAGCAGCTTCCCTAGGCCTTACAGCCTCTCGTAAATATCAAAAGTGGCAGCCCTGCGCTTTAGGCATGCTTGGCGAGGATTGGGCGTAGTTCCTGGCAGCTTCCTGCCCCACTCAAGCACCTGCCCATGGTTGGTCCTGCCCAGAGCTCAGTGCTGATGGGTGTGGTGAGCAGGGATTGCACTTTTGGCCAGAGGTGCATAAACCTTCAATTGCTCTTCGGAAACCGATTTATCAGCTAATTTCGACCTTGTCCTTCGCTTCTAAAACAGTACCCAAGGAAATAAAGATACCCAATGAATTTTATATATAATTTATGCTAGCATTATTTTCTAGTGAAGAAAAATATCAAAACAACATAAATATATAACTATAGGGATGCATAAAATATTGTGATACAGTATGAGCATGTATATTTCATATGTGATGAGTATTAATCACTATTAAATAGGTGCTAATAAAACTTCACTAATACAGGTGTGTGTGTGTATGCGCATGTGCAGTATTGGGGACTGAACCAAGGACCTTGACATTGGACCCCATCCCTTTATATTTTTCATTTTGCAGTGGGGTCACACTAAGTTAATAAGTTGCTCAGACTGGGCTTGAACTTTCAATCCTCTTACCTCTGCCTCACTGAGTGTTGGGATTACAGGCATGTGCAGCTCAGAAAATTCTTATGTAATAGTAAGGGAGAAGAATAGGGTATAAAATTATTGGCCTAGTTAGAGTCCAGAATGTAAAGAGCACTGGAGGGAAACACGCATATATGTTAACAGAAACTGCCTGTGAGGGTTGGAGTTGCAGGCAGTTTTTCCTCTCTCTTCTCCCCTTCTCCTTTTTTATTTGCTGTATTTTCCAAATTTTGAAAATAAATGAATTTTGCTTTTGCAATCAGGAAAAATTTTTATAAAGAAGGGCATATAAATGGCCAGCCGTGGGGGCACATGCCTCATCCAGGAGGCTGAGGTAGGAGGATCTCTGTGAGTTAGAGGCCAGCCTGAACTATATAGTGAGTTCAAGACCTGCCTGAATTACAAAGAGAAACAATGTCTTTAAAAAAGCATATAAGCATATTTTTTACTTTGAAGCAAGGTCTCCTTAAGCTACTAAATTGCTCAGGCTGAGCTTGAACTTGCCATTGTTCTGTCTCAGCCCACAAGTGCTGGAATTAGGTGTGCAATCCCCCTGCCCCCTGCCTTGTGTGTCATTGCCTTTATTCTCTGCAGCACCACCTAGCAGTCACTCTTGTTGAGGGTTTGTGATTGCTGCATGGAATCCCTTCCTCTGTTGATTCCTTAGCAGGAGTCTGTAGGCTAGGAGGAGACAAGAAGGGAGACTTGCTATTTTATCGAGATCTGATTGCACCTAATTGCCTTCCCCATTCCTATCTTCCACCCGGGAAAGGCAGGAGCTTCCACCCCATCTGTATCTGCTCTGCCTCCTGCCTTGCCTCTCATCATTTTTGGAAAACTGTCAAGCTTGATCTTTCTATAGGTCCTAGGCTGATGGTTTCCCTCTTCTGCTCATCATCTTTAGTGACATCCATAGATTTGTGGACAGTGCTTTATAGTCCCAACTTTAAACATCTGGCCCAGTCAGCCTCTGTCTGGCCATTCTTTGCCTTGTGTCTCACATCCCCAGTACACCTCTCTGTCTCCCTTTCCTCTGTGTCTCTGGCTACACCATTTCTTCTCTCCAGGACCCTGTCTTCTCTGTCACCTGAGTGACACCTGCTCATTCTTCAGGTCTCAGGGAGACATGCTAATGTCATCTCCTCAGGATACTTCCCTGTCCCTCAAGGCCAAGGAGAGTGCTCCTCATTGGTCCCATGACACCCTGTGGGCTTACCTGTGTCTTAGTTCTAGTTCCTGGTGCTTGCTTATCTGTCCATGTCCTACATAAGACAAGACCATATCACCAGAGTTTTCCTAGCAGCACCTAGAAAAATACCTGACATATATATTAGGCACTTAATCGATATTTGTGAGTGAATGAATGTAACTAATAGAAGCCCCAAAAGTAAGATGTCTGTCTTCCTTTTAAGCAAACATAGTTTGCTTAAAACTAATACTGCTGTTCTGGAAGATCAAAGTGGAAAAACTTCAAGTTTTTGTAGCAATATTGTTTCTCATGGTGTCCCTGCCAAGGCTGGTGTAAAGTGCCAGAGTTAGCTAGACGTGAAGGTTTGTATTTTAGGGAAGGGCCCACAGGCTACAGGGTGTTCAGGGTCCCACTACTAGATCGGATTAGTAGTGATCCACCTATTTGCAGGCTCCCAAGAGCTGGGATTGCAGGTGTGTGTCACCGTACCCAGCCTCAATTGCTGTCTCAGCGTGCTCTGGGAGCAGGGCTGGCACGGCAGGCCCCAGGATTGAACCCCAGCCCCTGTGCCTGCTTGCAGGCGCTTTAATCCGCTGAGCTATTTAGCTGGTCCTTGGATGTGAAGGCTTTAGCAGTGCTTTTTCTTAGGCTTTGGCTGTGCAGGTTTGAGCTTATAGGGGGTTGGTTTATATTTTATCTAATTGACCTTTAATCTGCCTCTCCTGGTAGAATGTCTAAGAATCCAGGCCGAAGCACTTGTCCCTAAGAGTCTTCTAGCAGTATTAGAACACACTGTTGAGGACATCAGACACAACAGTTACACTAGGGGGCTGGTGAGATGGCTCAGTGGTCTAAAGCACCTACTTAGAACAAGCTAAACTAAGCAAAACACAGGGACCACGGTTCAATCCCCCAGCACCACATGCCAGCCAGCCCCACCCCCTGGTGGGCTGAACTGGCCACACACAAAATAAATAAAGTATTTGTAAAAAAAAAAAAAAAAAAAACAGTTACACTAGGGCTAATCAGTTGGGTGTTTATTTTGTTTTTTAAACTTTAGATTCTGGAGCAACAACTTCAGCAGATGAAAGCAACATATCAACTAAACCAAGAGAAGTTAGAGTACAACTTCCAGGTGCTGAAGAAGAGAGACGAAGAAAGCACAGTGATCAAATCCCAGCAGAAGAGGAAGATCAATCGGTAAGTTAGCCTGTCCAGCATCTTTCTTCTGGACCCTTTTATGGGACCCTCAGAATAGAGATGAGCATGTATCCTCTATCCTGCAGGAGAAACCCATTAACATATGCAACTCTTTAAAAAAAATTTTTTTTAAAAGATGACACATTCAAGTGGTTCTACTTTTCCTGCCCCAGAAAGAATATTCAGCAAAATGTCCTTCTCCCATCTTCTGTCTTGTCCCTCTTTCCTACCTTTACAATATTTATTTCTTTTTCCAGAATTTCTTTATGCATATAGAAACACAAGCAACTATTTTAGTTCATCCTCTGCTTTTACACATAATGGTGCCTGTAAGCACTGTTCTATATCTTGTAGACCTTTCTGTTCTAGTTCATAGAAAGCTTTCACATTATCTCTTAAGCTATTAACTGCTCCACAGCAGAGGTGGACTACAAGTTATTTAACCAGTCTCTACTGATGGAATTGTAGATTGTCTTCCAGTATTGTGAATAATACCAACAAGACTACTCATTCAATGGGGCAATGTGCTTTCATAGCTCACTGAAAGGCACCTGTTGCTCAGAATTTCTCACTCCTCCTTTCTCTTTACTCCCTTCTCACCTCCTGTTTTTCTTCCTTTAAGAATTGTGTATGTTCCAGAGCATTGTGCTGAGCTCTGAGTATTAAAGTAGAATAAATTATCTTGTTTAAAGTAGACAGAATTATAGATTTTCTTTCAAAGCCAAAATAGGCTAGCAGTTTCTAAGAATTCTTCCTCTAATACGCTGATTTTACATTTTGAACAAATATTGGGCATATAGAGAAATACCAGTTGGCCTTCTGATAGTTATTTGTAAGAGAAAATGATACTGAAAAAAAAAAATCTGGCATCTACAGTCCGATTACCTGAGAAACTAGCATAGTTAGGGGACAATACTTATGGGAAAGTTCCACCCTATGACCTATAGTAAGTTGGGGGGCAGTGAAAAGGAGAGGTTGTGAGGAAGCTTCCCATAGAAGCGCAGTAATGATGGATGTAGGGACATGGACCAGCTGCGCTGTACAGGAGGTGCAAAGCAGGACAGAACATGCGTACTACATGATGGCCAAGGAGAGACTGGCAAAATGGGGGCGGGGTGAGATGCTGAGGCAGTGCTGAGGCTCGCTGCCATGGTGGAGACAGGAAGGGAATGGTGCCATCACACTGCCCACTTTAACCAGCTCTGCACTGACTTCAGCCCTGGATGGCTTTCTCTTGGCCTGCAGAATCCTGCCACAGCCCTGCTGCTTTTTTCTAGGTGCTTTTCTTTCTGCTTTCACTGTCATTTTACTTTCTGTACCATTCTGCCTGCAATAGTTCAAATTCTGCCTTGATCCATCCTGCCCAGACAAAAAATGTATCTATGAATTGGCCTTTCCTTTGTTGCCAAAGTCTCAACTATTCAACTACTACAGCATTGCCAAAAAGTCTAAGCCCAAAGTCTCCTTTGAGACTCAAGGCAAACTCTTAACTCTCCAGCACCTTAGCAAACTCTTGGCAATATCTTGCACCTACAACTTAGGGTTGGGGCTGCTGAGGGTTTAGCTTGGCTCACCAATTAGAGAGTCAGTCCATGGTCAGCGGGCTCTAAGGCAGAGATGGCATGGCGGGAGGGCCCAGCAGAGAAAAGCTGCTCCTGTCATAACAGGAAGCAGAGAGAAGGGACAAGGAGATGCCTCTCTATGTCATTCCCTTCATGGCCTACCTACAACCAGGCCCTGGCTCCCAGTAGCATGCTCAGCCACTCATCCATCAATGGATTGATCCACTGATGAGTATAGTAGCTTCAGGATCCAATCACCTTCCAAACACTGCACCTCTGAGTACATGAAACTTTTGGAAAACATTTCAGATCTGAACTATAACATTCTGCCTCTGATTCCCAGAAGGTTCATGTCCATCTTATTGTGAAAAATGTATTTAGTCCATCTTTAAGAAGTACTAGCTAGGTATGGAGGTACATACCTGTAATCCCAGCACCCAGGAAATGGAGGCAGGAAGATTTCTGTAAATTTGAAGCCTGTCAAGGCTACAGAATGAATTCAAGCCCAGTCTGAACTGCATTGAAAAATCCTGCTTCAAAAAGACAAAAGGAAAAAGAAAATGGAAAAACAAAAAAGAGAAGAAAAAGTTGCCACAGTCTCAACTATTTAACTATTTCAGCATTGCTAAAAAGTCCAAGTGCAAAGTTTCCTTTCAAAGTTGAGACAAACTTAGCTATGAGCCCCTGAAAAAATAAAAAAGAATTAAATACTTCCAGCATACAATAGCATAGAACAGATGTGGCAAACCTATGGCACATGTGCTGCAGTGGGCATGCAGAGCCCTCTGGGTTGGCACATGAGCCAAGTTGCTTCAGCAGCCAAGCATGGGTAATTACTTGTTCTTTCTAAACTATACCTCAGTGTTGTAGTATTGGCACTTTGTGATAAATAAGGTTTTGGTTTACAGTTTGGGCACTTGGCCTTAAAAAGTTTGCCATCACTGGCAGAGTAAACATTCCTATTCTAAAAGGGAGGAATAGGGAGATAAAGAGGAATGGGCCAATCAAGACTGAGACCCAGTAGGGAAAACATTAAACCCTGTGCTCCATGCCCCATACCCAAGGCAAACTGTGGTGAGATGCGAGTTCCAAAAGGCTTGGACAACCCTGTTCCTATGGCTTTGCCAGTTGTAGCCATCATGGTCTGTCTCTTTGGCTGCTTTAATAATTGCCTATGGCTTTCATCAGGAGATCTTACAATTCCTGGCATCTCCAACTTTCTTGAGTCTCCACTTTTGATTTCACTCTCACAGCTTCACACACTAGCCTCTCAGGGGCACATTGCCTGGCCTCCCAGGGCTTCCTCTGAAATCTGAGTGGAAGCCTCTATGACTCAATAACCCTTTAATTGTGCATGCTTGAAAAACCAGCACCGTGTAGGTTATGCCAAGGTCTGTGGTCAACTCTAGCAGTAGCTGGGCCCCCTTGGACCATGAGTGCAGTGGCCTCTCAGTGCCTGGGTGACTGAACTCTGGGAAACACTTGAATTGGTATCTTTGAATGATCATAATGCTCTGAGACTCTTTTCAAAGCAAAAGCTTTCAGAGGGGTTTACTCTTTTATATCCTTGAGGTTGCTAATGGATAGGGTCTTGCCACTTCATGAGATATCCTCAAGATATATTTCTTATTGTTATGATGCAAAGTACTCAGATTCTTTTTAAGGCAAATTTTTTTCAGTAACCATGCTATCCTCGCTGGCAACTTTACAGGTGCTTCCTTTTTGGACAAGCTGCAAAATGTTCACATTATTAGGCTTTTCTTTTTGTTACTGATTCTCATAGTAAGTCTGGATAAAAGCAGTCAACAGCATCAACAACTTGAGCTGCCTTGAAATGTTCTCTGCCAGACTATTTAGTCCACTACCTTTAAATTCAGCCTCACACAAAGAATTAGGACATGAACAAAACCTAGACAAATTACTTCTCAAAATGAAATATTCATGGCTTGTAGTCTTTAGAGTCCTCATTCCTGATTGAAACTTCATGCACCTTGCCTTTACTGTCTTCATTCTTTCTTATCAGCATTCTGGCCTGCTGAACTCCCCCCAGAATTTCCCATCAATTTCTGCTTAAGAATTCTAAGGCTTTACTGGCCACCATCTTTAAACCTTTCCAAACACATTCTGTAAACCAGTACCAAAAGATTCTAAAACAACATGATTAGGTATAGTTATAGCAATGGCCCCAATTCTCTGGTACTAATTTTCTGTATTAGTCAGTTTTCCTGATTCTGAGACACAATACTTGACACCCATAAGTTAAAAGAGGAGAGATTTGATTTGGCTCATGGTCGGGGAGACTCTGCTCATGGTCTACTGACAACTCTGAAGTAGAACCAGGATGGTACAGGGCTTTACTGAGGAATGCTTCTGCATTCATGGTTGCCAGAAAGCAGATTAGAGAAGGGAGAAACCAGGGAAGGAATGTACCCTCAAAGGCACATCTTCAGGGACAGGCCTTTTCCAACAAGGACCAACCTCCTAGCAGCACATTTAGCTGAACTCATCAATGGTTTATCCATCAATATGTATTGTGCCCCATGATCTAGTCACCTCCCCAGAGCTCCACCTTGGAACATGAGACTTTTGGGAGTCAGTTTAGACCTAAACCATAACAACTCAAATTGAGAATTTATAAAGCAGACATTCTGTAAAGTCCAAGATCAAGTTGGCTTGGCTGTATGGCAAGGGCCATGTCCTTCAGAGAGGTGGAATGCCGTGTCCTGTCATGGCAGAAGAACAGAAGAGCATGATGGTAGCTGTGTGAAACTTCTTCAATAAGGGCTTAAGTCCCTGTCATAAGGCAAGATCCCTAATGGCCTTGTCGTGAGGCCTGAAAGGCCCCCACCTCTTAATATTCTCATGATGACAACATCTGTATTTTGGGGGCACATATCCATACCGTAGCAACCCATGACACCAGAATTGGGTAAAACTCCAACAACACGAGACCAACGGTACCCTTCTGGCTAACTAGGCAAGCACTCTACCACTGAGTTACATCCTCAGCCATATTTTCCAGAATATTTAAACTTAAAGTAGTATCAGCCTTCAACTTCACTATTCCTGTGTAAATGAGACTCTGATACAGGATGTCCCTTCAGTAGTGCGGATTCCGAGGCACAGTCCTGGATCAGACATCTGTGCGTGCCCTGTGTGCTGTGCAGGAGGGGTTCCCCTGCAGAGCTCCTGTTATGCAGACAGGAGATGATAAGCCATGGCCTCTTGGGCTGGCAATGCTGCTGGCCAGCTTATAACGGTCCCTCTCTGTACTGGAGCACTTGGACTAACCCCCACCCCAAGCCTGGGTGGGTTCAACGCCTCATCTCTGGGGTATGGTCTCCCATAGCACTTTTCACTCTTCACTCTTATTGATGTTTATCTTTTTCTTTGACTGGCCCCATAGTGCCTTGTTTGAAAAAAATCCTTGTATTCATCTTTGTAATAAAGCAAATCTTTTGTTCAAAAGAAGCATTTCATACTGGATGAATGAATGAATGAATGAATGAATGAATGAATGAATGAATGGTTCTATTAGCAGTAATAGCTCTTTGAGGATGGAGGATTTAGATATCTTAGGCTTGGGATGTGTAGTTTGAATTTTTCCTTGTTTAAAAGTTGAAGTGAACATTCAAATCATAACCATGAAATATAGCAATAAATTAGTGGCGTGTGGAAGGTTTAGCCACACTCCCAAGCGGGACCCCCTTGTGGTGTGTCTGGGTTTCTAGACTGTTTTCAGCGCAGTTAGTTCTGGGGGATTGCATTGCCTCCTGTCGCCTTCCTCTTTCCTTGCCCACAGCAGGAGCCAGGTTTGGGAATACCTGGGAGGGCTTTCTGTGCTTCTACAGCTCCAACATCCCTGGGTATGCTGTGGAGCTGAGTCAGGCAGATGAAAGGACCACCTTTTCTACCTCTTAGTCTGCTGCAAATTCACCATTTTCCCCCTCCAACCAGCCTACATGATGTACTTAACAACCTGAGATCAAAATATGCCAAGCAGATAAAGCAGTTTCAAGAGGAGAATCAGTCTCTGACTGCAGACTACAAACGTCTTGTGATGCAGTTCAAGGAGCTACAGAAATCCATAAGGTATTTTAGGGACTTGGGTGCCTGGGCAGGGGTGGTGGCGCAGGTGGTAAGGAGAGTTGGTAGTGGCATAGAGGCGTGGTTTTGTTAGGACTGATCTCACCAACTTCTCTAAAGTTTGCCCAAGGCATGAAGGATGTTCTGTGCTCTGCTTTTCTCTCTTCTTGTGTGTCTCCTGCCCATTTCCTGATCTCCTGTTGGGATAGATTCTATTTCTGCAAAGCAGGGGGGCTATGCAGAGATTGGGCAAGGCCCCGGATTTACCATGGTTCCACCTTTTGCTCTTGTTTTGCTGCCCACTGAGGGGACCCTGGCCAGGCCTTGAGGTCAGCCAGGCACCCTCAGTGATTCTCCTTCACAGGCATTTTGCTCTCATTGATGATGAGAAGTTTCGTGAGATTTGGCTGATGAATGAAGAGGAGGCAAAGGTGCTCATAAGCAGAGCCTTCGAAGTGGACAAGATCATCCACACCCAGCATCTGGGGCTCCCCTGGACAGCACCTGACTTCTGGTTCCTGCACAATGTGGGGCCAATTTCCCAGCCGCTGCAGAAGTCCGCCACCCAGATAGTAGAGGAAGTGCTGAGGCAAACAGGTGACGAGAGCAGAGCCCCAGAGCCTTCGAGAGAAGGGGCCTCTGTCCATTTTACAGCTATAGGAGAGTGCAGAGTATGATTAGTGGATACCACTCCCCCTTGTGTTCTAATCATGAAACCTAGGAGCTCAATCAGATGCAGGTCAATTCATTTTTGGTAAGGACACTGCTATGTATCTCCATAAGGACAGACAGTTCCTCTCTCTCTCTCTCTCTCTCTCTCTCTCTCTCTCTCTCTCTCTCTTATTA